GAGGGAGCTATTTAGCAGAGACTTATTGTTTTCGTTATATATTATATTTGTAGTTCTTATATGTGTTCTATATCTAACAGGGAGTTCATCCTTGTGACAAGAGGAGAAACATCAGCGACTATCAATTCCTCTTTCCTGCAGTCGATTTTTCACTGGCAAGTACCTGGGATGTTATAATGAGCTGTGGGAAATTTGTTGTTTATAATCTTTTTAGGAAACTTTTCATTCAAGAAAATGTAACAATGGTGGATGAGTTGTGTTGTTGATTAACACTCAAAAGTTCCATGCAGATAGAAAGTGACGAGGATGTATTGTGGAAGGCTGACATTAGAGAGACAAAAGAAGAGCTGGCAGCCAGAGGCTTGCAATTCCTGAATTGGTGAATATTTTGTTTATTAGACTTTCGTGTTTTTTTACTTTGATTTCTTTAGGATGCCCTGCTGATATAAAAAAATGTGAGCACGAGGAAATGTTTGCGTACCGCTTGCATATCTCAAAGTCTATTTAAATGAAGGACACTCCAGAATTAAGCCATTGCTATGAAATTTCGTCGGCTATCTGTTTACCACAAGTCACCGATACATGATGTGGTTTTCAGTGGTCTTAAATCTGAAGATGATTAGTGTTTTAGTTACAAAATCTTGACTCATTTGGAGGCCGGATTGAATAGCTTTTAGTGTGCAACCTACAGTTTTTTTATACCTAGCTGCACTCGACAGTTATCATCTTCATTGTTCCTGTTTATAAGCAACTAGGGACTTTTATGTACTTGAGATTGATTACAAAACCTCGAGTCCGGGGTCGGGCATGGACCTTATAATGAACAACAAAGCGTCCCCCGTTTATCCAGGATATTCCTTTGTTCATGCTGACTGATAACTGGAGTCTTCTTCTGTAACTGGTGTTGAGATTTTCTGCTCTGGTTTTAGCTTCTCTTGTTAGGCTTGTTTTTCTATGAATGAAAATATCATACGGATAGAATTTGGTTTTGTTTTTACTCCAAAGATAGATAAAACACAATAGAACAAAACTATTCCACTGATATCACCTTGTTTGTTAATCTGGTATAGCTTTTTTTCTCCTTTCTTGCAGGTTGTGGACAAGGAAGGAGAAGGAGATAGCCGTTGTTACTCATAGTGGATTTTTGTTTCATACTCTAACTGCGTTTGGAAATGACTGTCACCCTTCGGTGAAAAAGGAAATATGCACACAGTTAGTGAACCCAATACACCTCTACCTCGAAACTATTCGATATATTTAAATTTCATCGACACTGACTTTTGCGTTAATCGTAACCTTTAGCGTGTCGTGTATGCTGCTCTCGTATTCTCATTAAGATGTCAGACTGTCAGTCCTCTATCAGATGCCTTTGGCTTGGTTATGTTTAAACCAACAATAACAGAAAATGCATGTTCTTTCTTGGTTATGTTTACATTCACTAATTTCATTTTCGGCTTGGTTACATTGGCGGGCTCTCGATTAGGGAACGTTTGAATGCATCGACTCTGCAATGATGTGTGCAATGTCTACTTGCAGATTTGCAAATTGCGAGCTTCGATCCATTGTCATAGTAGATAGAAGGTGAGTTTTGTTTATGAGCTTTTGTAGACTTGAAAGAAAATTCCTTTTCCTGATCATCACGTTTCTCGTGCTGCCAGTATGGTCGGGTCGGATTCCTCGACAACTAATTATCCTGGAAAGATACCTCCGGGGCTGGATATCCCTAGTGATGCTGTGGATGACAAAAGCATGAAGGAAGAGAAACAACCAGTCGATTCTGAACCGAAGGAACATGAAAATATGTAAGTCTTATACGGCTATAGATAGAGAGATATTCAAATGTTGAGTGTCATTTATACAAACAAGTATTTTTGAAACTGCCTTATCTAGACACAGCACAACGCCTATATATTTACTTCTGATATCCGCATTTCAAGAATTTGTGCTTTGAGGATTTCTCCAGTTGAGCTACAAAGTCTGCACTTAGTATATGAATTTTCTTTTTCTTTTTTTCATTATGAGTTGGCCGGGAGTAGAATCTGTAACGGCCAAAGCCCACCGCTAGCAAATACTGTTTGATTTTTCCTTTCGGGCTTTCCCTCAAAGTTTTTAAAACGTGTCTGCTAGGGAGAGGTTTCCACGCTCTTATAAAGGGTGTTTCGTTCTCCTCTCCAATCGACGTGGAATCTCATAGAATCTGTGGTGAATATTCAGTTGAGTTATGTAGTGAATATTCAGTTGATTTATGTAGGGAAGAATTGATTTACCGATTGCTGCAAATGATTTTTGGCTTCACCCTTGAAAACTAGGATAAATCTCGTAGATTCTTGGTCATGGCTCAGGATTCATGCATCCGTGCACACATGTTTCTTGGCAACTTTGGCTGTGGATTTTGGATTTTTATGGATAGCCACTTGGTGAGGTTGAATGCTAATCTATGAACCTCAATATAAACTCAACTAGTTATCACATTTGTTCTCGAGTATAAGATATGTAGTTCGAATCTCCACCCTCACACGTTATTGAGAACCATCAAAAGTTGTAGTGGTTAGCCTAACTTCAGAAAGAGCAAAAAAACAGAATATACCTTCATCCAAGTTGCCTGACCATTTGAGACCCAGCCTAAGAGAGAGTGAGTGTAACAGTTCAAGCCCACTGCTAGCAGATATTGATGTTTTTGAATTATTCGGCTTCTCCTCAAGGTTTTAAACCCTAATGAGCATCTTCTTGAGGTTATAAAATGCGTCTTTTAGAGAGAGGTTTCTGCACCTTATAAGAAATGTTTTGTTCCATCTCCAAACGACGTGGGATCTCACAATTCATCCCCTTTGAGGTCCAACGTCCTCGCCGCTTAATCTAGAGTGGTTAAGCATATGTCTTTTTAAAGGCTGTGAAGTACTTTCTACAACCAATTATTATTGTTATTATTATTTTGGAAATATTCATTTATATAATTCTATTCCTTATTATTTATTTAATTTTTTTGGATGCTTCTCTTGAAAATTTTAAATACTTTGTTTTTGTTTGTTAAAGCTTTACTGAAAGTATTCAATCTTGGTATATACTAACACAAATAGCTCCTCTCGAGAATATTTTTAGTTATGTTATCTCCCCTTCTTTATTATAACAGCGAAAACACTCTGCTACCCCGAGATTGACACTAAAAAACAAAAGCTAGGGGAACAAATGAGATTAGATGCCTAGTAGTCCTAGTTGTAAACAATGGATTCTAGGTTTTGTGCATATCGACTCGTGCAATACTGAAGCTAACGCGTTATGTATCTTCCCTTGGAAGTATGTTCGCAATAACGAAACTCAAAAGAATTGATGGGTCCACACAAGCGTTGGATGACGTGGTTTAATTCGATGCAAAGGGAAGAACTTTACCAGAGCTTGACATGCCGCAAATCCTCTTGAAAGAGAGTGTTCTTTCGAGAACGCGGATACTAGTGGTGCATGGTTATCGTCAACTCATGCCATAAGGTGTTGGATTAAGTCCCGCAACAAGCACAACCCTCATAGTTGGTTACCAACCGTTGAGGTTGAAACCCTGAACAGACTACCGATAATGTCGAGGTTAGACTTATCAAGTCAACGAACAAACAGTGAAAAAAACGATTCTCCCCTCAAATTTTAAAAAAGTGTCCTATAATTTCTTAATTTATGTTTTTTCTAATATTCCCATTGCTATATTTTAAAGCATAATACTAATATATAAAAGGAATATATTGATAATTTCAATCAATAGAATAGTGTTGTAATAGGATCTTCAATAAAATAACATTGACTCTCTTTTTTATTCAATTCAAAAGTCTATTTTAGTATTTTAATTAAAGTTTAAGGAAAGAGGGAAACATTAATTAAAATTTCACTATCCATTATTATTTAATGAGTTTAATTATTATATTCACTACTTCTAGTCTATTTAAAATACTATAATTAAAATAATAATATAAATTAAATTTTAAATGATTTGGATATCCGATTATTTTCCAAAATTTTAAATTGAAAATTGATTTTTTTTAAAATTTACCATGAATTAATTAGTAAAAATAATGCAACAAAAAAAAATATTTATTACAAATTAATTGTTTATTATTATTATTATTATTATTATATTATCCAAATTTGAAGAGATGGGAAGCGTGGGTAGGTGGGTGTAGGGAGGGAACATGTGGTGTTTAAATAGAAGAAGCGTCAGGTCAGTCCAGGTCGGCTCAGCTTTTTTTTTTTTTTTTTTTTTTTTTTT